GAATACCACCATTGAATCAAGCATGTTTGGACGAAGAGAAATAAACCCTCGCGCCTAATTTATGAGGCCTTATGGCCTATTCGCTATTTTCTCTAATGATATGTTATAGAACGGTTCAAAACCGTTGCTTATTGTCTTTGTGTTTCAGAAAAAAATAAACTAAGGAAGAAGAAGAGTACGTGGCTAGCGCTGATGGGTTCATTCAAATTCTCGCGCGGAAATTCCATTAATCATTATTTTCTTTTATAATATTTGTTTGTTATGTGATATACAAAAAATGCGTTTGGCTTGATTGGCAAGACTTGTTATTGGTAAACCTCATGACCTGGGTTCGAGCCCCAGGTCCTCACTATTTCCATGTTATTTTTCAATCAATGTTTCTATGCAGTTTCAATGCTGAAGACCATCATACGTCTCTCCATCAAGCCGTCCACTTGGTCAATCTCATTCATCCAAGGGTTCAGATCTAAAGAACAGGATGCACTCTAGTCAACGGAGATCCATGCCAACGCAATAGTCAACCAGGCCAAAGAGTAAATGGGCCCAGATTGCTAAAAGAAAACCCTCCAAATTAGGGGCAGACCCCCTAGGTTTGCAAATTTTCTTACTTTCTTTATTTTTCATTATTTTCACTTTCTTTTAATTATTGTTTTATTAATTAATTTAATGTTTTCATAATAATATAAAAAACATAAAAAAATCAGAACAGATGAAAAAAATAATAAATATTTTATTTTAGTATTTTTTTTGTAAATAAATTCATTAATTCATTTAGTTTTAATTTAGGGTTTAATTGTAATATTTTCATAATAAAAATCTAAAGTTAGTAGAATTAGGTTTTAATTAATTTTTTATCCTTTTTTTTTATTTTCTTTCATAATAATTAAATATTTACTATTACTTATTTTTGTAATTAAAAATTGCATGTAAAATAATTAGGGTTAATTTTAGGTTAAACTTTAGCATGTTTTCATAATAAAATAAAAATTGTAGAATTAGGTTTAATTGCATTAAAATCATAAAATACCAAAAATACCAAAAAAAACAATTTCTTTTCTTTTTTTAATTAATTAATTTCATCATTCAATTTAATTTTGCAAAAAGGGTCCAACGCCCTCGTTTTTAATTCTTATTTAATTCGCGTGTTTATTTCTTTCTCGTGTAATATTTATGTATTTCTCCCAAGGCCATGTAACATCTTTTATTTGTCTCACTTTTAATTCTTTATTTTTCTGTCAAATCGGGTTCTGGAAATTTTGGCGATGTGGACCCGCGCCTTTTGTAATAGCTTAGAACTTTACTTTTCTCGCACTTTTAAATGTTAATCAAGGCATGCAAGAATGAATGACAATAAATAAAAACAAACGCTAGATCACCAATGACATGACAAAAAACAAAAATACCTGAAAACGACACACAAATTCACACACCACCCCTAGGGTACGCCTCACTGTTGCCTTGCCCCTCGAAAGGTGATCGTCGAGTAGAGGATGTCTTAGTAAGTCCTCATGATCCGGGAACCTGGCATGAGGGTAGCTTCTAAGGTGTCTTCCCATTGCTCTGGTGATCACCATGTCCCGAACCTCGAATTGACCCGAACACCTCCAACGGTGGTGCTACCTACCTCTCAATGCTGGGATGGCACTACTTTAAAGGACATTTACACAGACGAATTCCTTAGGGTAGGTAGGTTCTCGTAGATACTTGCTCTAATTTCAAAAAAATACTTTTCACACCGACACTTTTCAAAAAGCTTTCGAAAGCAACTTTTCAAACACTCTTGAGGACTGATACAAGAGTCGAACTGGAATTTTCAAAGAAACTTTTTAAACCCACAGTTGAAAAGCAAACAAACCATTTTTGAAAACACAATGAGCAAGTATCTAAGAGCCCATGGATAACCATGGATAGAAAGGGTGCTAACACCTTCCCTTTCTATAACCTACCTCCCGAACCGAGAGCAATCTCTTTAAGGAATTTTTCTGTGCTTTTGTCCTTTCCATTTGGAGAAAATAAAAGACGGTGGCGACTCTTGCTTACCGCGACATTTCGCGAACCAGCGTTAAACAGTCAGTTCCAGATCCACCGATCACAGTATGAAACAGACCTGGGATCAAGGCTCCATGTAACCACTGTATTGTTTCTGAACATGCCACATATCTCAGGATCAAAGGTCCGGGACATAACCCAAAATAACCTCATGAACATCAAATTAGAAACTCATAAAATAAATCGGAGAACCTCATAGTCACCAACAGAACAAGTCACCAACAAGACAAGTCACCAAAGGTACCTGTAATAATCATCCCTCCCCACTCACGGGCGAAACTAGGCCATGGTAAGGCAAAGGTAACTCAAAATCATGGGTATTCCTGGAGCCACTATCGTCGAAACACCTACGTGAAACGATATCACTTCATTTGTAACCTCATCTGAGCATGGACGATATGACTGTACTAGAAAACCAAATTCGACTAGCCGTTCACGTTCCACTCTATTCCTAGGGTTCCTATTGTTGTCACTTATCCTGGGTATTGGGCCTTTTACCTCTTGTAACACCCACCCAACATGGAAAACCAGAAGCCAATACAACATATATCAATATGGAAAGCAATAAAATGAAATGCACATGTATGCACAGGTAATCATGTATGAATGAATAAACTTAAATCATAAAAATAAACACCTAAAGAAAACAAAACAAGAGCTAAGAGCGACTCTGGGATGGACCAGCAATTGGTCGATCTCTCTCCAGTGAAGTCACCAGCTGAAACAACCGGCTGAAAATCATCAGACAATGAAGTCGCCATCGAATGTATTTTATCCCACATGAAGGGAAAGGTAAACATCGAGAAAACCTGAGAAGGGAGAAGTCACAGTATTACAACCGAGAGATTGGGTAAGGGAGTTTTTTATGCAAGGGGAAGGTATTAGCACCCCACATGCCCATAGTACTCTATGACATCCACTCTTGTTATCTACCTTATGGGTGTGTTTATTATATGTTTACTGCTTATTATTGAGGAGGAATGCATACAAAAGAAAAGATAAAATAATGCAGGGAAAATAAAGTTGTTCTCGCTTGGGTCCTACCCCAATGCCTATGTATCATTTTTGAGGAATCAGAGTTACTGTAGTTCGGCTCACAGGTTTTGTTTGTTTTGTGTTTTTATGAACAATGTTAATTCCTCCTTCATCCACAGCCCGACCTTTGGAGACTCACGCATTGGCACAGAAGTAAATTAGCATGTCCTTACATGAAAATGGTTTTGAGTTACACCCTAAAGGCCAGATGCCACATTTGATTGGTTTGTATTTTGTTACCTTGAAAAAGGGTTTAAGTGTTATTAGAGTGTTTTTGACTAGCTAAGAAAAACAAAGTTTTAGTTTTAATGCATATGCAAAAGGGGAAGAAAAGAGTCTACGGGAAACTAGCCTATTTCTAATCCTAATGTTATCATACAATGGTAGTCCTAAGGTTTGGATTAACACGAGGAAATCTCTACCTAATGTTAGCATGCATGGTTTGCAACCTAAGATCTAACTTGTATCCGAAAGGAACAAGCACATCCTAAGGGAATATGGTATAGAAAGAAAATGAGCAAACAAGCTCGAAAGAGCACACACATAAAAAGGTAAAGAAAAGAAGCAAAATGCTTTAGTCAAGGGGAGAGTATCACCCGAGACAAACAAGCGGGAGTATGATGTAAAACAAAAATGTGATGTCCAGAGCGACTAAACACCTAACCAAGATATAGAAGATCGAGGTAGGCGACAAAAGGCAATATAAACAATCACTGAGTGCCAGCATTGTCCAATGCGAACTCTTGATAAAGTGTGAGGGTTTGATTGCGAAACCCTTTTCCACTTGACGGCTCGATAACAAGAGTAGGAACAACTCCAAAGCATCATGGTGCATCACAAGCTAAGGATGAGACGGACGAAATTGTGGGGGTTGATTGCGAACCCTTTCTGCTCGCCTCATTTTGAGGACTTCAATAAGGGATGGGGAATAATGCGGGCATAAATGTAAACTCACCTGTAAAATACCTACACAAAGGTAGGATTTTAAACAAACACATATAACATACAGAAAGCACACAAGAGGAATTGCCCTAAACGGATCCTTAAATAAACTAGAGGGCCTCCTGACATGATCAACAATGGAGATCCCCATCATACATCTCTAGTCGTACTTCTCATGGTAAGGAAAGCAGTAAAGCCCTACTTCTCATGATGTCTAAAAAAGCCGTAAAGAAATGCGATAAAGCACAGAGAAATACAAAGCAGTAGCAGAGACTACCATAAGCACGCAAATCGTCGAAAGCAGACGAAAGAAATGGATAAGCAGGGAGTATGCGTCGAGCAAGCTTCACTAAGAAACAAACAAAGCCAGAAACAATATCCAACTAAGATAAAAGCAAACGCATATTACGAATGCAACGCATAATCAGAAGTTCCTGCACAAAGCATCATAAAATATCACATGCATCGGGACAACATATAATATGATATGAATTTCTCAGGACAATGAGAAATATGGCGTGTCACATCGGAAGCGAGCATAATCTGTATGCTTCGATCACATAACAACTTGTTATGTTACATGATCAAAAGTATAAAAAATATACCTTGCACAATGAACAAACGCGTCAACAATGACGAGACACGAATGTTTGAAAATATGAATAAAAACTAAAAGAAAAAAATTATTTTTTATTAGTTTTTTATGCGGGGAAAAATCTATCGAAAACTAAATAATTAATTCCTAAAATCGATTAAGAAAAACTAACAAATTTTTATTGATTTCGTAATTTTTTATCATAAAAAATAAAAGGAAAAATCCTAAATTTAAAAAAATAAATAGGAGTATCAAATTGATTCCAGGGATATATTATATAAATTAGGCGCTAGGTCTAACTCATCAATAGTCTAGAATCAGATATTTTGTTCCATAAGGTATCGGCCTTCAAAAAAGAGTAATAGCCTGCAGCAATGGTATGAGATTCGGCCTAGGTCCAACAAATTCAACACATGAGTCCAAGTCAGTTTCTGTTTTGTATATCAAGCTCTAGTAATAGGCTTCAGAAAAATTTAAATAGGGCCAAGAGAGTATAGATTCCGCCCAAACCAAGAATGAAACAACCAGATTTTCCCTTTTTATCATTTAATTCCTAGTTTATTAAAAGAATTAAATAAAAAAATAAGAAAAAGAAAATAAGAAATGGATTAGGGTAAGATATTGTGACTCTTGGATTTATGTGAAATTGAATCCCTCCTCTTCTCTCCCAAAGAGCGGCGGCAGAATCCTCTCTGATCAAACTCATCAAAACACCATCGTCAACCTCATTATTTACCACCATCAACTTCGTCCAACTCTCTTCTATGTCCGGCCTCACCTCTCTCTTCTCCTCATCACATCAGATTCATCACCATCTCTGTCCAATTTTGATCTCATTTCGCTTATACTTTTGCAGCACTGCGGTTCATCTCCTTTCTCCCTCCATCTCAATTTATTTCTGTTTTTGCTTATCACGCCTTGCTTTCATTTTCGTTTCAAATTGCCTCGCGGTCAACGTAAGGTTTCAACCAAAGCCATAAACAGGACCACAAATTAGGGACTCTGCACCTCCAGCTATGGTACCGAGAGTTTGTGGAAGAATGATTTAGGAAGCAAGCAATAACCAGTAAAACCAACAACAGAGAGTATCAAACAAGAGATTGCAACACCTTATCGATCAGAGTCCGTCCGATGCGGCTCCAACAATAGTGATGATCAGAGAATAGCCTTCAAACGCTCAGGTACGATTCCTCTCATATTATTTCATAATCTTGCTTCTGGTTAGTTCTTCTTCTTCTTCTTCAGTTCTTCTTCTTCTTCAGTTCTCTAGGAATTTTCTACTTGAGTTGTATCCGATTGTTGCTATTGTTGTTTACATTTTACGATGAAGATGATGAAGCGACTTACAGAGAGATTGCATAGATGATGATATCGTCGATGAAGATTATTCTGTTTCAAAGAGATGAGAAAGATTCTAGAAGAAGAAATGTGGATGATGATTGCTGAAATTATCGCCAGAGAGAGCAGAAGGAAGCTTCAGTTGCAGAAGTAGAGAAAAGATGAAGATCTATTGGTGAGTCCCTTCTGAGAATTCATCGTGATTATCTCCCTCCCCTTCTGTTTTAAATCTGTTAGTAAGTTAGTTATGGACTGTTTCAAAGTTTGTTCGAATTCTGTTAACTCTGTTAATTATGAGGTGACAATTAGGAAGTTAAAAGCAGTTAGCAGTTTAGTTATGTGAGCTAGCTGTTAGTAGGTTAGGAGTTGTTAGAAAGTTAGTTGGAGCTGGTTATTTGCAAGATGCCCGTTTATTAGGGAAATTGAGAGAGGGTAGTTAAGGGAAGTTATGAATCTGTTAGAAACAGTTAGGCTCTGCTAGCATTCTGTTACGGGTTAGTCAGGAAGGTTGGTACTTCTGAATTTCCTCTTTGCGTATTCTGTTTCAGATTTTCATGGTCTGCACCAATCTTTTTCATACTATTTCTGATTTTTGTTTCTCTCTTTATTTCCTGATTTAACCATACTGCTAATTTTTTTTCTGTTTTTGTCAATATGTATGGAATGGTTTAGCTAAGTCAATCCAATTTCTTGTTGCTGTTTTGGTTAAGCATGATAGTTTTTAGCTTCAGGTTTTAATTGGCTTAGAAATGGAGTTGAATTAGTTTGGGTTTTGTAATTGTATGCAGGTTTAAATATGTTTTTATTGTGAACCAGTTTTATGTGTTGTAGGTCATGGAGATGGCATAGTTATTAAATTGGATGAAGATGTAAAGTTAAAGAAAGAAGTCATAATGGTGAAATAATCGTGAGGATTGGCTCTTGGAACTTGAAGAATGATTGAAGATGGACATTGGTTATGGAGTATTTGAAGGCTTATGCATGAATATTAAAACGATGGAATTTAGAATATGTGTTATATTGTAACTTTGGGGTAATATAGCTTGAAATGTATTGTATTTGAAATTGCAATGGACAAGGTTTGTGACCTTTGAATCATGAAAGGAGTTTGCTTGAAATTTGTAGACGAACTTGGGTTATGCCTTGAAATTTTTATAATCGTAACCAGAACATGTGCTTGAGATTATTGATACCATAAGGAATCCATGGATTAATACCTTGAATCACATTACTTGATATAACTTGGAAATATTATATTCATCATACGTATAAACCCTTAAATCCATATTCCATGATAAATTGAATCCAATACACGCCATACTTGATTAATGAACCTTATCCTCCTTTGAATTAACCTTTGACTGAAGCAACACATAGTTGAAATAATAATGATGCCTTAAACACAAAGAATCATCAAATTCAACATCTTGCACTATAACTCACATCTTGACTTGATGACCAATGATCTCAACACAAAAAGTAATGCCTTTGAGAAAACCCTTTGATGAAGATAAAGCCATAATCTAATGACTTGAATACACGATGAGGAAATGACTCGAGATGTAAAGTAGAGCCAAAATCCTAGCTAGAAGTACTCTCAGTTGAAACATTGATAAAACCCCGAACACCTGTCTTTGATAAATCTTGGTAGAAGCGTACCCTGTAATTTGCTGAGAAATAAGTTCACAATGAATGACCATATCAAAACCTTACTTCCCTAATCCACACTTCATAAGAGAATCAGATGATCCAAGCTTATTTGATTTGTACACCTCAAACCAGGGTAAAACCCTAATTATATGCTAAATTTATTGTTGATGCAAGATTTATCGTATGACCTAACGGAAGTTATGTACATGAGAAAAGTGCGGGATGCATAAGCCAAATAAAAGTGAAAGGGTAGGAAAAATTTGGGGTATTACAACCACCATGAAAACCTTTCTCTTTTCCTTAAGAACAACAACACAACATTAGATTGTCATCAAAGTAAGAGCAAAGGATTCACCATTACAAGTAATCTGAGGCGCTCGTGAATTGGTACTTGTTGTACCCCAAAATTTTCCCTCTCATTTTACTCAATAATACTCCTAGAGATCCTCAATTTGCTAAAGTTTTCCCAAGAGCTGACCAGACAAACTCTCTCCTAAGACAGTGTGTCTCAAATTAGGGTTTCCATTTTCATCAAGATAGTTGGACTCCAAAGACCTCATATGCTCTCCTTGGTCCTAATATGTTCTCAAGACCCTACATGTCAAGTTTCATGCCTTGCACAAGAAGTTGGCTCAGTCAACTGCTCAGATGCCTGAAAATCAACTGTACTAGGTCAAAAGTCAATTGTGGCCCACATACAGTCAAACTTCAAGATTTTTGCTCAACATCAACATTTTGAAGAGATATCCATAATTTGATCAAGGTTTAATTGTGATTCCTCAAGGAGTGCCCCCAAATTCATAAAAACCCAAAAGTTGCTAAATTAGAGTTTCAAAGGAAAAGTCAACCAAACTTTGACCAAGCATAACTTCCTCATACTTTATCAGACATTTTCCATCCAAGGCTCATTTTAAAGAGGATGCAATTCCCTACAACTAATATTCATCCCACAAGTTCAAAATATGCACTCATAAAAAGAGATGAATTTCTACATTATAGGTCCTATTGAAAAGTCAACAAAAACACCTTTTGGGTCAAAGCTTCTTACATAAACATGGAAGACCCAATTGAGATGAAAACAAAAGGGTTGTTTAGGGGACATCTTAATCTTTCTAAAAAGTCCAAGAGCCCCTCTTAAGGTTAAAATTGAGGGATATATGTATCGTCAAAATTGACAAATTTTTGGAAATGTGCGTGAAGTCAATATTGATCAAAATGACTTTTTTTTCCAAATGGGCCCATGTTTTCTTGTTTGAAACTTGTTCCTAAGATGGACCACGACCCCTGAGATTATCCACCTATTATTTTATTATTTTTATTATTTATTTTAATTTTTTATCCATTTAAATCAAAATAAATCAATTTAAATAGTAGAATAATCAAATAAAATCAAAGATTTGATATTATGAGCATATTATGAGTCCATGAACAGCTAGCAAATCAAAAAATTCGTGCAAGAGCTAATTGATCGGAAAAGATCTTAATTTGGTCTATTTTGGAAACAAATCATACAAGGCAAAGAATGAAATTAAATCTCCATAATTTGCAAAGATATGATCAGGTTTTGTTGACCTAAATCATTCTATGATATATACACAACATTTCCAAAGCATAAAAAAGGGTTTGGGGTCATGAAAACAAGGGGAATAAATTGTAAATTTTGGAAGAAAAAGTGCAGACCGTATTCTCTTCCATAGACCGTTTCAAGTAATTCCAAAACCAACAATCTGTTCCTGGACGTGTTCTGAAGCCATTCTAATCAATCTTAAGCCTTAAAACCCTCAGAAATCACGCCTCATAGTTCCACGGTTTGTATCTTTTTTCAAGATTCATTTTCAATGATTTATCCATCATAAACATGTTTTGATCATATATCCATGCTTGCTATCATATTTGCAATATTTTTTATTGGTTTGATTGAAGTTTAAGTGCAGGAATGGCACGACGCCATTGTTAGGGTTTTGAGGTCCCAAATTGGAAATTCCATATAGAGGCAAAATTGGACAAAATCAGGAGTACTATCATGCTTATAAGATGATTTGTAATTGATCCATGTCTTTGGTTTGAATTTATCCTGCTTGTGTTGCGTTTTTGATTTTACAGGTTTATGGCTATGAACAAAATCCGTCACTATAGCTTTTAGTGACGAAAACGACTGTAGGTAAAAGTGTGGCCAAAATAAACAGTTATGGGGAAGAAGACAATTAGGTGGCAGAACCTCATTGAGTGATTTGAATCACGCGCGCGTTTGGGAAAGACCACTTTATTTCCTTTATATTTTATTTATGTTATTATATTTACAACTAACCATCTCAGCGTTTTCTCTATTTTTCTTAACATTTAATTGTAGGTTCTGTACATTATGTTGCTAGGCGTCTATCATACATCCAACCATCCAGCCATTGGATTCATCATCAATCCAGATCCAACACCCAACGCTCAAGTCATACCATGGACCATCAGAAAGAGTATCACACTAGATCTAGCGCGTTGATTGGGCTGAGTAAGGAATGGGCCTAACAAATTCAGTGCTACACCCCCTGAATTGCTCAATAATACAGGCCCAATTTCTTTTCTTTTTTATTTTATTTCCTTTATTTTAATTATTTGATTAATTATTTCCCTTTACAAAAATAACACAAAAATCCGTTTTTTTATTAAATCAAAAATCATAAAAATATCAAAAATCATTTTTTTATAAAATATTTTATTTCTTTAATTAATTAGTTTAATCAAAATTAGGGCAATTTAATTCTTTTTTATAATTAAAATCACTTAGAATTAGGATTCAATTTGTACATAACCTAATTAATTTTTTCTCAAAAAAATAACCTAAATCTTTTTCAACTATATTTTTTAGGTTCCTCAATTCATTCTCCCATTTAATTCGCCGCACACATTTTTTAATTTCCTTTTATTATTATTGTAACTGTTTCGAGGTTGTAATAGTAATTAGGGTTTAAATTCCGCATTTTTATTTTCAGTCCAAAATAATTATGTATCTGCAAAAGCCTTGTAATAGCTAGGACTTTAAACTTTCTTGTTTTTAATTCCGCAAACTATAAACTGCTTAGATGTATGTTAATAGGATTGTATGGAAAGGCAAACTGAAAATTAATACGGTAGAAAATCCTAAATGTGCAAAGATAAATTAACTGAAAATTACACTCGCACATGCTCACTCCTAGGGTTTTCCTCACTTGGTTGCCTCAAAAATAATGGTCATGTCCCTCGAACGTAGGGATACCTTAGCAATGACCCTCAATTATAAAGTCATCAAAAAGATCATGGTCCCTTAATGTCCCTCCAGTTGCCTACGAGAAATGATCTTGTCCCTCGATGTTGCCTACGAATATATGATGATAGTCCCTCGA